TTAATCCTCAATGCCTGTAATAGCTGATTCTTGCTTACAAATCACTCAGCGTGTGTCCCTGCTTCTACCCCTGATCACTGTAATAACAATTTCACTACATTCACCGATAGGGCTTATGCCAGTTTGCTGCTCTCAGCACTATCCCCCTCACTAGCTCTCCTTACAGGCCGTAGCTATCAAAACCACCCTCACTGGACAGTCCCCCCCTCCCACACACGAACAAACAAAGCGGTTTTATCAGTGACAATCTTGTACATGTTAGCTCTTCCCATTCTTGCGATCATGAGTGCAGCACAGACATTCACTCTGTTTTAATCAAAACTTTTATCATAAATGACCTGTTTTAGACGGCAATCTAGGAGGTATTCTTCTGTCAGAGCTCTCGCAAAGGCTTGTCCACCAATTTTTAAGTTTTTATTTTCTACCAGAGATGGTGAAAGAGGAGGCAGGACTCCATCGATTTTTATAAATACACTTATCTTAAAGGAGGAAATTTTTAACTGGTATTTATCTTTTGAACAGCATGTCTTTGTGTTTGGCAGTCTTCCTATTCTCTATGACTGTCTATGGACCTCCCCCGTCGCTCCACTTCTTTTATTTGAGCTTTGATCGATTTTGCATACCATTAATATCAGAATTTTAAAAACTGGCAAATTTAATGTGCACGTTGACAGCATCTCTGACCCACTTTACAGAGAATTTTTAAACCTCTTCATCTATTTAGATTTTAAACAGCATGACCCCCAGCTAACGTACAACAGGAGACACACCCTGGACCTAGTCGTAACTTACGGCCTGTCCGTTGGTGTGTCCTCTGTTGTCGACCTGGCTGTTTCAGACCACCACTGTGTATATTTTAAGATTGACAGTTTTAATCATCAGGAGGCCCCCTGTGAAAATAGTGAGGAAACACTACCTAACTTCTGAGGTGGCTGCAAATTTTATTGAGATTTTAAAGAGCCTTCCTGCTGACAATTTACCTGCACCCTGTGATTTTTTTGTTGATAATTTGAACAGGAATTTAAAAATCAACAGATTCAATAGTTGCACGTTTAACTAAAACTATATTACTAAAGACTGCACCCCTGTGAAGAAATGATGCTGTGAAGAAGTCAAAAATAAAATTCAGGAGTGCAGAGAGGAGCTGCAGAAAAAGTAAACTCATAGTTCACTAGGAGGTAGTCATGATGCCAAATGACACATATTAAAAAATGTTTGGTTTTTTTTTTGGTGCACATTTCTCTCCATCCAAAACTGTTATGGTGTGATGTCAGTGTGTGATGCTTAATGCATTTTTTAAAAGTAGCTAATTATTTCAGGAAAGGTAATTGCAACAACCTGCGAATGGCCAATTGTAGCTTGGACCTAATTGGCCAGAAGCTCAGGTGAACTCCTTTTAAAAGGGGAATGAAGAAGTCACTGCGGTGCCGGACAGCCTGGAGAGCAGTGATACATGCGGTCTGCTAAACCTGGTTTACTGTTGCTACTTGAAATAAAGAAAACTCTTTCCTGGATCCTGGCTGAATTGACTTTTTCCACCTGGCCTGCTGTTTCGCCACATAACAATTGGTGGCAGTGGTGGAAAAGGTACGCTTTAGTGATGGGTCCATGAGGCGTCATGAAGCGTGTGGTCACAATGACACACTGTGTTGATACTGTGTCACTGACCACTGACACCTGATGGACTTCAAAAATTCCTGCAGGCAACACACTTTGTCATGATTTGGTTTGGGACCAACAGGTGACACTGTCGGGCTCTCCCTGCAGCTGCACACCTGTTGGTCATTATGTAATTAGTGTTTTAAAAGGACTCCCAGCCCGAACCGTCAGTGTCGGGTCATTGTTGCTCTTTGCTACTGTCATGTTTGTTTGTTGCCGTTTGCTGCTGTCAGGTTTGTTTTGGTCACAGTTCTGTTGTAGCTTCAGTTACGATTTTTGTTTGCTACTTTGGACTATGTTTGTTTTGGATTTAGTTTTCTCTATGTTTTAATACACTTATTCAAGTACACCCCGCTCCTCCTTCTTGCCCCTTTTTGGGGTCGACCACCACCTCGCAAACGTGACACACTTGACAGACTGAACTGACTGATTTGATGACGAAGTGTATCCAATATCATTGACATCTATGCATTCATTATGTTTGAATAATGTGGAATTTATGTGAATGAGGATGCTTGTGGGCTTTGTCTTCAAAAATCTTTATTCAGAAAAATAAGTTGCTCCAGTTAGCCATCTCGTTAACTCTACGTCCCGCGTCCTAGTTTTCCAGCAGGACGCACAGTTCCAAATAATGTGCGTTTTTGGGACACAAGGAAATTTCTCAGTCAAAACAACAACAAAAAAAAAAAACTACGGTAAATCTTTTTTTTCCAGCAACGATCGCAGTTTGACCATGCCACCATTGTTGTTTTGATCTCGCGTTAAGTAATCTCGCGTGACGAGATTTCCGTTCTCGCGAGACGAGATTGGCGAAATCGGCCTTCATCTCGCGGGAAGCAGACGATTGCCAAGTTGTGTAATGTTAAAACAAGTGTTGCAAAAGTTTAAGATATCGCAGAGGAAGCAGCTAAAGTTGGATAGTTTTTTGCAATAAGTTAACTTTGAGAAAGCCTTGCATTGTTGGAGGCAGAATAGAGGAGAATTTATAAACTCAAAGATGAACCATGGGATGAAATAAGAACCTATTTCTCAGGAAGTCTTGTATGCCTGAATTATTAAAAAAATTGCAGCATTTGTTTATAAGAAATAAACCTATTATCAATGTATATTGTTGTTGTTTGTGTTATTATCATATGTAATTGAATAAGTAGACCATTTCAGAATTTGAAATTTGGGACTCTCTAAATGCATAATGGGACTCATACTTTTCTGATGAGCGAGTCCCTGGGACTCGCAGGGCTCAAACTGTAAAATGATCACTGTCCAGTGTTTTGAATTTGAGTCTGTTGCGTTTCTTGCACGCTATTTCCCCTGCTGTGGAGAAGACGCTCGCATGGCACTGATGATGCCGGCGTACAGAGGAACTCCTTTGCGTACAATATTCCCCTCTGCCAGGTACCGCTGGACCTCAGAGAGAGCATCTGCTGTTGCACCTCTTCCCAGACTCCCCACCTCATCATCCAAATGCTGCCACGGGTCATCTAAAAAACAAAACCCAACAAAATTGGCATTTAGAACAATTTCCAAAAACAAACTAATAATGATGACTAACATGCCAGATGTAGTTGCAGAGAGCTGCGATGATGGTCCGGGCTGGGCCTTAATTGTGCGCCCGATGACACGCACTCAGTCAGACCGTAGTCTGGATATGGCCTCCGTGCACCTGGAGGAACTGCAGAATCCAAGTGATTTGAACTGGGGTCTAGAAGTGGTGCTAAGGTTAACACACTAATAGACTCCAGACTGGAAGCAGTGTCTGCGACTCGACGCTTCAGGTGTTCGTGGAGTTGTATGGCGGCCTGTGTGTGCAAGGTTGAAGCGTGATGCTTAAGTGCATGTTAAAGCATTTTCATCATCGGGATGACCTTTTGAACCAGACACTCGCCTCTCTTCAGACAACTCCACTGTAGCTTGATGGAATGCAGAAAGCACCAGTAGTGGTTCTCTTATGATGGTGAACTCATCAGCTGTCAGTCGAGTCAAATCTATCTTTAAGGAGACCCAAGATACCCACACTGGTTCCCTCGCATCATGCAGCCTTGACAGCATTTCATAAGTACTGTTCCAGCATGTTGGCACCTCATTGATGAGTTTCATGGTTGGCCGTCCCATCTGTTGCTGCACCTGAGCGAGCTTCTCCTTGGCTGTAGTGCTTGGATGGAAACATGTGACAATGTGCCGAGCTTTGTTTCTGATGTCTGTAAGTGCAGGGACCTGATCGCATGATTTTGTAATGAATAAATTAAGACTGTGTGCAATGCAAATTGAGTGGCCAATTTGGAGGTGTCGAGTGGATGCGATCATGTTTGGTGGTGCTGCGTCACTCACAAGACACTTGTTGGTTATGGCTCAGGCCTCCATCATGCCCCTTTGGACCTGGGCCAAATTGTCAGCAGTGTGATTCTGTGGAAACTATTGTACTCACAACACTTGTGACGGGAGTCACAACTGTGACTGTCTTGAGCTCCACGTCGCTGCCGCCTCAACAACACCAGACACTTGGATGTGGCTTTTTCTTTCTTTTATTACTGCAATACAGTATGGCAGGAGGGATAGGTGAAATCGCATGGGCTTCGGTCTCAGAAATAACATGTGACTTCCCTGGTAGCTCTCACTTAACAAAACATCATCCATAACAAAACAAAATACACAACATGAGTGATCGTATAGTAACTATTTACAGAAAAGGGAAAAAAACCACACATTCACTGTTATTTACGTTATGTCATTTAAGGCATCACATGCAGCAGAAACGGCTGCGCTACGTACAATAATGGCGGCCGCGACGGAACTGCGGACGCACGCCAGGAACACAAACGGCCAAATGAAAAATGACATGAGCAATTATATACAGTAAAACCGAAAGGAAACAAACATTACCTGCAACACAGTATGACAGGAGGGATAGGTGAAGTCGCATGGGTTTCGGTCTCGGAAACAACTGCACAACAGAAAAGCACTATTAACTCAACGGGTAAAAACTTCCATTCAACAAAACTTAAATTAAATAACAATACAAAAAGCAATTTGAACTCGGGACAAATCAGGGAACTAATTAAATACACCGCACAGTAGAAAAAGGAAAAACGAAGTGAATAATATTGTCATGAAATTAGAAATGAATCCGGACCGTCAATGAAATGCGACTTGCCATGTGACTTCCCTGCTAGCTCTGACTGAGCTACGGCGGGAAGCTGGTGCCACACTGTGCGCTGTTGCGTCACTTCCGCTATAATTTAATAAACTCAATGTATCACTCCATTGCACACTGATGAACACAACTGCATATTCGCATTAATGTCGTGACAGGTAAGTGCCAAGTAAGCCTCCATGTTCACAGAAGTCCACATGTCAGTTGTTATACTCACTGCCACAGCTTACTGTACTTCCATTTTCACTTTTTCCTGTTCCTCCTGGTATTTGTTGGACACCATTTTTTGATGGTCTGAAAATTAAACCAAAAGCAAATAATACATTTAAATTAAAGGCGATTCATCTCATCTACATCAACAATTACTTTATGGAATTTTCACACAGACCTTTCTTGACGGCAAAACATGAGGTATCAAAGACCTGAATCCTTTCCTTGAACCCTTCAACAAGAAGGCACACAGAACTCTCAATTACAAGGGGCAAAATATCCTCAGAAGTCTTGCTTGTCTCCTTCTTCCTTCATTTAATCAGTAGTTAACTATGATTTTGGTACTGTATTATCGTTTTTTTCATAATTGCTGTGCAGAGCTCACAGAGTCGTCGACTGTTTGAGTGTGTGTTGGCGAATTATCGTCAGTGTCGGGCAGAACACTTTTACATTACAATTCGTTCCTGCTAATAATCACCACTAGATGGCATAGGAACGCTAAGGGGGAAACAACTCAATGGGGAAGATAAAGAGACTGAAATACCATACATAACATGAATCGAATTATAAAGTGCACTGCCGGCTTTTGAGAAAATGGAATGCTTTTAGGTGTGCCTTATAGTGTGGAAAATAAGGTTGCTACAAGTGTAGACTTAAATGCACCTGCCTGTACAAATTGCTGTCTGTTTGCCATCGAACTTTGAACCCAGTTTAGCCTGACCCCTCCAATCGCATATCTCCTTAATTTCTATTGTAAAATGTCATAGTTTATTGTATTGGAGGCTTTATTGAGGTCTATGAACACCCCGACTGCATACTCCTTTTCCTGAATTCCACTTGTTAATTTCTCAATTAGTTCCATGAAAGTGAGTATGGTTGATTTGTGTGCTCTAAACACATACTGACTCTCCATAAGCAACATGTCTTTCTCAAAAAAAGTGTCCAACCGAAGAGCAGTTACTTTCCCCAAAATTTTTGAGTCATGAGAAAGCAATGACAAAGGCCAAACATTTTTTTAAAGTAATTTCTTTCACAAGATTTCACTTGAGCCTTTCGTTTTAGTGGGCGAGCAGCCCGATTTCAGCAATAAATTACCTGTGTTAAAGGATTCACTCTAGTATAACTAATTTATTTTACTAGATCATGCCAATTTCATTCCAGTCTTGTGATGATTTATTATTAAACTGAAGGGGAAATTTGCACAATTTCATTTCGATGAGTGATTCTCATAGATAAATGGTAGCTGGGTTTCTTTTATGAAACACAGCTTCTTCTTATCACCACTGAACCCATCAGGGATTATGCTTTTTTTGTTGTTGTTTTGTTTTTTTAGTATGGGTTAAGTATTTTTCATCTTCCATGGATGTCATTTTTTTTTCAGGTACATTATTATAATAATTATCCTTTTTACATTTCCTAATTATAGCTGTTAGTTTATTATTATATTTAATTATTCATTGATTGCTAAATATTTCATACCATTTTTTCTTCATGAACTCGGCATATCCTGGCTACAATATTTACATTCTATTTCGTTTGTTTCATTGGACAACATTTATCATAGATTGAGAAAAGAGTTGTTTTTTGAAAATATGTTGCAGGCTGTGTCTACGTTGCAAGCTTGATACACTATATGCCACTCTTGACCAGGTGAAGCGCTTCTAAATATATTAAGACTTGCAGCCTTCCTTCCTCTTCTATGCCATGTTTTTTCGAGATCATCCTTCCTTCATTCAAGTTCAGTCATATTTTGCAAAACTTGGTAGATGATCAGTTATTTTTGTTATTTTGACTTCAAGATGGCGCCGCGTGAGTGGCTGCCTTTCCAGCAGCTCCTATATTTTGTTGTTCTACTTCTTCCATTCATAACTTTGCTGCTGTGAATTGGGAATTTCTCCATTGCGAGACTAATAAAGGTTTTCTTATCTTATCTTATCTTAATGTCATTTAAAAGAATCCCACTACCAACTTTACCTTCCAAATAGGTAGTACAGATATGACTGGATCTATAATTGCCGCCAAATTCACTGTAACACAATTTTGTTTAAATTAGTGGTAAATTAGTGAATTCATTAGATTGTCATTCATACGCTCACTTTGATCACAGTTATCGATGCCACCTCTAACACTGAAGCTCCGAAACACGCTTCAAACTCGATAGCCGACTTATAGTGAAGCAGTGGGCCGGAGCTTCCTTCAGGTGACGTCACTGATGACGTTTGAACCACTTCACTGCATCATTCCGACCGAGTCAGGTGACTGCTACGGGGTGACAGGCAGAGCTTTGATACTTTGGCACAAAACTCAGTGCATTTAAGAGAGCCGAAACACCGCAACATGTCCCTGTTGTCAACGTATTGTACGTTGGGAGTAGCCGTTGTTTGTTGTTTGACATTCGGACTTTTTGACTGATGGAACCACCCAGGAAGCGTTCTCCTGTGTGTGAGCATTTCGATTTGGTACCACCGAATAAGGTAAAACACACTCTACTTCCGTGTTCATTTGCCTGATTCAGCGGAGTACACTAAGCACAATGACAAAAAGGATATGAATGACAAACACAATTTCAAGTCTTTTTCTGATTTTTTAAAATAGTATATACATTGTTGCTTCAAGAATATAATTTATACGTTGGGGTACAAATAACAAATTCATGAAACACCACTGCCATTGTTTCTGTGGCCGAGGATCAGACCGCAAGTGTCCCCACCTTTGGCTGCCGCCCAGCTCACACTGCACCCGACCCCTTTGGCCCCTCCCATGGGTGGTGAGCCCATGAGAAGGGGGACCCACGTTGTCTCTTCAGGCTAAGCCCGGCCGCGCCCCAATTTCGCTCATCATAAGGGATCTTTCGAGCCGTGCTTTGTCTGGTCCCTCACCTGGTTTTTGGTGGCCTCAGTATTGCATCTCCGCTTTTTGCAGATGATGTCGTACTGGTGGCTCCTTCACGCAGGGCTCTCCAATTCTCACTGGAGCGTTTTTGCAGCCAAGTGTGAAGCGGTTGGGATGAAAATCAGCACCTCCAAATCTGAAACGATGGTCCTCAGTCGGAAAGAGGTGGAGTGCCCTCTTCGGGTCGGGGAGGAGATCTTGCCCCAAGTGGAGGAGTTTAAGTATCTTGGGGTCTTGTTCACGAGTGAGGGCAGCAGGGAGTGGGAAATCGACAGGCGGATCGGTGCAGGGTCGGTGCAGCGTCTGCTGTGATGCGGACGTTGTATCGGTCTGTCGTGGTAAAGAAGGAGCTGAGCCAAAGGGCGAAGCTCTCAATTTACCGGTTGATCTACGTCCCAACCCTCATCTATGGTCATGAGCTATGGGTCGTGACCGAAAGAACAAGATACAAGCGGCC